ATGTGTTTTAAATCATTTGCTTAGGAAGAGATTTTTAACCAAAAGTAGCCATGAAAGTTGACAAGTACCTTTACAGGTTATCATAGGTATGATGTCAGCCAAACATCTTGTCCACAACAGTATCCTTACATATATCTCTGCTAAAAAACAGTTTTTCTAGAAGTACCCTATTCTCAGGGAGGGGGCTGGAGCATTGCATATGGTGAGGAAAGCCTAGGAGACTAAAGCCAGCCTCCTCTCAGTAATTAGGTATAGTGTGTATCTAAGTAACACGTGGTCACCACTCGAGTTTCATCTGTTTGATAAAGAATTTACTCTCTGTCATTTGAAAGAGTTGTCTGGCTCTGACATGTTTTGCTTCTGTTTTGTACCTTTGTGATAAAATCTTCTCTTGGCAGTTTCTCTCTCTGCCCTCCTCTCATCCTGACAAAGCCACCTTAAAGCTGCCACTTTCTACTCCAAACTCCTGAATCAAATTCAAATATTTAACTTTATTTTTTGTATAAAAAACAAAAAAAAAGATTGCTTTTGCTTTCATAGCAAAAAAGACTCTGATGCATCTTTTAGTTTGAAAAATATTGATGCTATGGGTAGGAACTGGGGAGTGGGGCAACCAGGAATATCAAATTAATTTTGACTTGTTTACTATATTCATGTTAGTAGTTTATCAAAAATAATACTCATTTTAATCTTGTGGCAGTGCAGATATTTCTTAATGCATTGGATAATTTCCCAAGTTAAAATCATGCTTCAGAAATCTTAATACCAGGCATTATAAATGGTCAGTCAAATTTTAAGGCTTTGATTTTAGAATAAGGTTTTAGAAACTGGAAAAGATTAGATTGAATGTGAACTTTATGTCAGCTCCAAGCATGACAGGATTTTAAACCCATCCCTCAAGGTAAGTTTTCTGAAGCTTATTTCATGTTTTTAAGTGTGTAATTTTTTTGCCAAGGGACATAGTTATTAAATAAGGGTATAGTATAATAGTTACGTACAACAACTTTGCTTCACAAAGCCACATCATAAAAGCATCATCTGCATTGTTAGTATCTTGTCATAACTGCGTTCACACTTCACGGTAGTGCCTCTGTGACTCAAACCTTACAAGAATTTATAATCCCAAATCGTGGCAGTCAGCTTTCACTCTGGTTGGGTTTAATCATTTAAGTAAGAGGAAACATGTTACTTTGGGGAGATTGCACAAGATGTTCTCTGAGACGGTTTTCAACCACCTCCTCTGTCCTCCAGTAGAATTCATCTCCATGCACATCTAAGCACATGAATAACCATCTATTGTTGGAACCCTTGTGTAATCACTTCTCTGAAATATGTAAGATACGTTTTTAAAGTGAGAATGAATCAACTCAATATTTACAAACAGAAACAAGGCTTTACATTCATCTATTGGGTGTTAAAGGGAGCGATCATCATATCAGAAATAAAAAGAAAACTCAATGTAAATGACTCAAAGTCTAATTTCAATCAAATCTGTTAAAGATTCCCCCCTACCCACAATGGATTCCCAGAGCAACTTGCCGTTGTTCGTTCTGAGCTGAGTATCATGCAGAAGCTCTGGAAACGTGAGACCATGCATGCAAACTGTTCAGACATCAGCAGAACCCAGGTTTTCTGGATGCATTTAAATAAACATTTAATAAAGTCCAGTTTGGTAAGAGGAAACTGGTCTATCTATAAGAATTCCAGTGTCCCTATCAAAGGAGCTAATTTCTTAGTAAAAAGCTGGTGATTTTAAAAAACTTTATACAGAGTTTTGAAGGAAATATTTTACCTATATTAAGAGATGCAGAATAACTGTGTTCTTGGCTTAGTTAGTTATTGCTGTTATACTTCTCAGACAACTCTCGCGCCCCCTCTTCCTAGCCTACCCCCCGTGCTGCTCAGATTTCTCCTTTGTGTTCCTGCTGGTGAGGAAGAATAACAGTGCTTTCTCAGCTCACAGCATTTCACCAGCTCTCATTAATCTCCACAGCACCCCATGAGGTAGGTGAATAAGTATTCTCCCTCTTTCCCCTATGCGAAGCATGAGGCTGACTGGAGTTTCGGAGGCTGAGGACCAGAGATAAGGACTCAGGTGTGTGTGGATTCCGAGTTCTTCAGTTCCCAGCACTGGGCCACAGTGCCTCATGTCCCAGCATCCAAAAAGAATATATTCTATAGTATAAAATGACATTGTTTTGTAGAATAAGTTTAAATACATTTAAAAGTCATATTCAACATAGGGGTTTTTGATTTTCTACTACAACATAAATTCTATATCAATCAATGATCATATAAAGATAATTTAAAAAATGACTAATTTTTTTTTTTTGTCTTTTTGAGACAGGGTCTTGCTGTGGCCTGGAGCTCACTTTGTAGCACAGGCTGGCCTCGAACTCACAACAATCCTCCTGCCTCAGCCTCCGGAGTGCTGGGATTACTTGTGCGCCACACGCCAGGCCAAAAATGACTAATTTTTGTGGTTGCCAATTGATTGGCTGTGAAATTAAATATCCTGCCAAGAACAGAACATGAAGGTGAAAAGATTAGCAAAGGACATAGTGAGGTAGAACTCACAAGGAAAAAGAAAAGCACGACCGAATTAAGTTGGTCCACAAATATGCTGGCTCTGGGGGACTTCTCGGGTATCGGAGTATCGGCGATGGTCTGCGCTCCAAAGCGGGAGTGCAGAACAGTCAGCTCAGGGTGATGACACCTCTTGGCTGCGGCCTTTGCTCCCCAGGCAGAGTACTCTTTGACATCGGGAGAACTTGTGCAGCTGAGGGAAGGAGGGGCCCAAACAAGCATTTCTTTTCCTGCCCTTCTGACTTGGTACTGGATATACAGTTGATACCATCAAAACACTACCCAAGAAGCTTCGAAACATTTGGGTTATCTTCAGAAATCCTCTCCACACCTTTGCATAGATGAGTACCTTTCAGTACTCTGTGTACCTTCATGTAAGTAAGGCCTCATAGCAACTTCTGATGCATAAGTTCTCTGAACAAAAGAAATAAGCACAGGATTTGAGGAAACAGACATGCTCCCCAACCCAGAACCAAAGAAGAAAAAGGAGCAACTTCCTAATGTTACAAGGTAGAAATATCAACATATTATGACTAGTACAAGAGTTGGTATGAGCATCTCAGATTTTCCTTCTGGGCAATGGTTTTCCCTTTGATGTCAATTTTTTTTATTTTTTTCCTAAGAATTATAATAGTGATTACAAGGAAAATTTAAATATCCCAAGGTTCTGATAACCCAGTATGTGGCAACTGCAATGACATCAACAAATCAAACCCCAAAAGTTATGTGTTTTGCTTGATTTTGGAAAAACAGCTTTTACTTGACATCATAAAATTTACTCTGAAATAACTGACTCAAGCAGTTTAAATTATTTTTAGCTTACCAAATAGAATACTTAAAATTGAAACTTCTACTTAAAGAACGTAAGGTTAAGAAACTTGTATTTCCCTTGAACCATTTTGTCCCATACACTTTGTGAAGGATTAAGATTTATGAACAGCAGAAGAGCAATGATAAAATTATAAAAGAGTAAAGGCTGAACAAGAAGTGTCTTTGCCTGAAAAGAGCTTCTGGAATTCCTTCTCTGAAGGAGAACAGCACTGCCTGTCTAGATTCAGGACAGAGCCTCCCAAACTTTTCCCATTCGTGCATTTGCTGAAAGTAAATGAAAATCAGATAGAATTTGCTCTGCATTAGTTATTTCTCTTTGCACAACAAAGAGATTTTTAGCAGCAGAAAATCACCAGTAGTTGGTTACTGCACGGGGAAGTTCAGTTCCATTACCCGCAACACCTGAGCAGTTTGCACATCTAGACAACATCAGACAACCAGACAGAAAATCGTATGCTTCAGACATCTGGTGTTTTCCACAGAGTATCCAAATACTTGATATCATGAGGATGAAATTTACCACTTGAGTGATCTACTTCATTTTTCATTGGGATATTTACATTCATGTGGACAGTCTTTATTTTTAATAACTTCATAGTGTCTACCTTGGGTTAGCAAAGATGGTTCGATAATCATCTGGAAAATTCAAATGTTAAAAGCTCTTAAGTGAAAAGAAACTTAGTTGTGAGGAAAAATCAGTTTCAGGGCTATCAATGGTCCAATGACTATGTCTACATTGAAAAACTGTTTTAACTCCCCTTTTTCCCTACCTCTATTATTCTAAAAATTACTCTCGCAACAATTATTTTTCCAATTTGAGAATGGATACACAGAGTAGGGGATTGGTAGGATCAAGATCCAGACTATGTTTAAGAGACTAGTGCTGGTAAAATTGGTGAGTGAGTTTGGACAGAGAGGCTCCAGTGATACCACGATATATATGTACAATGGGACAATGAGTGAGGCCAAGGTAACCTGAATCTCATTGCTGTTAAAAGAGGGATAATTAAATGGTTCATGTCAGATAAGCAGGAGTGACTTACAATGCCTGAAATATCGTTATTATCCATCAGAAGTTCTTGTGTGCAGAGCAGTGTAGGGCTCAGTGACAGAGGAGAACCATCAGAAAGGAGGGTTTCTTTAAGGAGAGAATTAACCTCCGACACAAGCCACCAACATCCCCTCCCTCTTGCCACTGTAGTCAGGCCTGCCCTTTCACTAGGGGACATATCTCTTGCTGTCATTACGGAATGGCAGTACTGTGCTAATTTCTGCTTTGTGAAAAGGCAGCAATTCCTGAAGAGAAACTACAGGTTTTCTCTCTCTGATTACCATACACAGACCTCTGCATTAATAGAAACTCTACCTCCCGGTACACCACACTTCCACGGTCGCTCTTACCCCCGAGTCTTATTGATGTGCCCTGTTTATTGTGCCTATGTCCCCACAGTCAACCAGCTCATCGTACGTTATAGAGTATCTTTGCAAATTATGCTGGCTCTGGAGTGCAAGAAATAAATATTTCCTTCAAATTGCTAATTTCCATTGCCTGGCAATTGAAAGCAAGTCATATGGCCACAGGCCCCATTTTTGCCATTCAGCGTTAGTGCTTATGCCAAGAGTCAGTTCAGAAAACTGACTTTGTCCTGATACCAGCTCTGATAACTGGGAATATTACTCAGTGGCTTTTGGAACATGAGAACAATTGCTAAGGAAAGAGAAGCATCTTTGAGTACAAGGAAAAATGATCCCCGCTCCTTTCTCTTCTTTTCAAGACTGCTCTTTGAATACACCTGATGACTTGCCTTCATTCATCTAGGGCTAACTCCTAAAACTGATACCAAAGATAAGACAGAAAGCTTTGTAAGAATACACAGATGGCTGACTCTTTTGCATACTTTGGAACTGCAATCTGATAACTTGTGGCAATTTTACTTTTACCTTTCTTTTAAAAAGAGAAGTGGAGAAGAACCATGATTTTCAATTACAAGACCAGCTGTTTGCTTCTAAGTGGAAATACACACATTTGCATATTAAACTGGCTATCTTCAAGCTCATCACCAAGCTTTCGTCAGATCTGAGAAGCAACAGGACAGTAGATTCCAGATGGAAGGGGATATGAGTTTGGAACTGGACATGTCACCACCTAGGAAGGAAGGCATCTGATTATTATTATAATTCCATAGCTGGAGCCGTTCAGATTTGACCTCCGAGACTGAATGACAACTCACGCTTCACAAATTGGCTATTACAATGCTGGCAATGGTGGTCTCATGGAATGAAGTAAAAGCAGCAACTGGATTCAGAAAGATCAATTATTAAACAGATGACAGTGACTAGTTTTCCCTTTCAACATGTGGATTTGAATCCATTTGAAATAAGTCTCCATAACTCATACCCACTCTGAGCTACACAAGCCCCCAGGAATCCATTGACTTTTTTTTTTTTCAAAGCAGTGCTTGCTGGCAGAAACAAAGTGGATGAATATTCATAGCATCAGTGCTGAGGAGCCAGGTAGCACATGTTTCCTCAGCTCTCCTCCATGGAGGTCTCTCTTTTCAGGCCTGGGCCCCTCATGGCAGGATGCTGGCCCAAGTGCTCCTTTCCACTAACTGATTAACGTTCCCTTGCAGTAGCTTGATTACAACATTACAAGTCAAGAATTTGCAAGTTTAAAAGTGTCTGTTGAATTAATTAAGCGCAAATCACCTCCAGTAAAACTTGACAAGTTCCAAGATGTTTCTGTAAGAAAAGAGAGGAATCGATAGCATCAGCAAGACACAGCTCTGTGACAGTCAAGACTATTTCTGCGCGTGACTGGCCCACCGCCACACTTCCCCTTTCTGAAAGCAGGAAAGATTTCTGCTCACAGAGTACTATGCCTCTGAGTCAGACCGAGGAAAATACTTCAGTCCTGGCTTTCAGAACCATACTTGGAAATCCGCTTCCTTGTTATGCCCAGTATAGTAGAGAGGTTAATAAGGGAAGCTGAACAGTTTAGGTTTTTGAAAGCAGGCTATAAAATTACAACTCTTTTACCAGCTGACGGCCTCCTTTGGCTACAGGATGGTGTGCTATTTCTCCCAATTCAAATAGAATAAGAAATCACAGGGGGCTCTGTAGAAAACCACAGGTCAGAGTTTAATTGCTGTGTGCATGTAGCAGAGCTCAACACACTCAAATACAAGTGCTTATTTTCCAGAGTCACAGTGGATTGAAGTACTGGTGTGTATTAAGGCGTGTTCTACTGGTTTGTAACCAAAATAAGAGTTTCTTACAGTGATAGAAATTTGAAATATATTTTCAACATACTTAGGGATATTTTAGCATTTACTGACAAACAGATTAATTTGAAATAATTAGAAATGTTGACTGGACACAAGTGCCTGTCAGATTGCCATTGTAACAGTGAAATTAAACTAGCTTAAACACATCTCCATTTTTCATGCTTGCAACACCTGAAGTAAGAGTTTGATTAATTCCATTTTAATGCAAATTAAGCAGTAGAGAAAGCAAAGGGCCAACCTGATTATTTGGTAGATGAAAGTGTAATAAAAAACATAAAACCTTACACTTTCTGAAATTCTAATAACAGCAGTAGGTGACAGGCTTCAATAATAGCACGAGAGAATATTTTGTGTTGGCATTGTGCTGGTAATATTTACTTATTATTTTGATTAGTTGATTTGATGTTGATTTGATGTTAGATATGCTCATTGCTCTGCAAATATCTTATCGGTAGCCACAAGCTTCCCCTTGTGTGGTGCAGTGGTTCAAACAGTGACAACTATGATGACAAAAGTAGTCATGGTGTCTTGAACCTAGGAATGAACCGTGGCCGGGGGGTAGCAGCATTGTTACATTACCATTTTAGTAATGCTTGATGCGACTCCCTATGAATCTTCCAGTTATTCAATGTGTGTCAAAATTAATACACTTTCTCATCTCTTTTCACTCCACAGAGGACACATGCGCTTATACATCATGTAGCCAGAATTATTTCATTTACGGAAAATTATCTACACAAGCTAACAGGGATCTTTAATGATACATTCCTTATGTCAGCAGGGAAGACAGCCACTCTGGGGCCCATGATGGGGGCACTTGGATGGCCTCCACGCCAATGTGAGTGACCGCCGGCCCTGTGGCTGGCGGCCTCCTGACCTGGAAGGCAGCAGAATGCTGCCCTTCTGACCTTGGGAGGCCTCACTTTAGAACCAGCTCACAAGTGACAGTAGCTGAGATTCTTTGGGGAGTTTGTTACCCCGAAACAACGAATATGTGCCGGTAAATTCTGCTTTTCTGAAAGTAACCCGGCAGAAAACTTTAGACTTTAGGAGGCTGTGTAATTGCAAGTCTTTCCTTAAAAAAAGGTTTCAAGAGTATCTTCACTTTTTTTTAGCGGTCATAGTTTTAAATCAAATACTATGTACCCAAACGATATTTCAACTTTTTTTTTTGCTCTGTTACTTTGACTCAGGAATGCTGCTGGAGACCCTAAGAAGAAGCCATACATTCTTCTGTTTAAGGGTAGTTGTCTAATGTTGATTTATCTTTGGATTTACTTCATTGTCTCGTGCTTATCACTGAGGGTAATTGTTTATTGTGAGCCTTACAGGAGAGTATTGGGAAAGCTTATGTTTGTCGTTTTAATATAAAATCAATATAGATACTGGAAAGAGAACTAGTAGCGTGCTAGAAGAGAAAAGAGATAGAGGTGAAATCAGAAAACACTGACTGAGCAAACTGTGATCTGTAGTCACCAAAACCCTCTAATCACTAATCTGGGAGCTGCTGAAATGCAGAGGTCCTTCTACACTTGACTGTGTATAGCCAGGAAGTCCTAGTCATAGCTGTCACCCTTGTAGAGTGAATGGCAGGGGAAATCAATAAAGGTGTAATGTGAACTACTGATTACAGACGTTACCTTTTCTCTTTGGGTTTCATGAGGGTGATGAAACAACATTTGGATTTCATTTAGATGCTATATCCTGTACAAAATTGGTGACTTCTAATTTAACATAAGCTCTAAAGATCTGCTTAAATCAAAGTAGAGAGATAGGTGATTGAATGTATTTTAGTATATCACATTGAGATGACCATTAAAGATTTTTTAAGAAAATAAACACCAGGACTGAGAAAGTTTTTGGTTTATTATTGGCTACCTTTTTTAGCATCAGTTCAAACAACACACACAGCTTAATATGCAATGACATAATCAAGTGGGTTACACTGCCAGTTTGTCAGTCTTTATATATACTACATTTAAAGAGAAAAGGGAAAGAACATATCAATTATTTTATCATTCATTCCAACAAATATTTGATTAATTCTTTATTCTTCACATCTAATTAATTCACTGGTCTAAGATAAGGCTCCCAGATTTAAGTGATGGTTTGAACTAGTGGTTTAATAATCCACCTAAATGTTAAATTTTTCAATTGCTAGGTAGTAAACAAAATTTAGGGAAAATGGTAGCAATCAAATAGAATTACCTTATAATATGAAAATAACGTCACTGCAAAGACTTGTTAGATCTATGGCCTTGTCCCTGTTCCTTCCTTCCTTCCTTCCTTCCTTCCTTCCTTCCTTCCTTCCTTCCTTCCTTCCTTCCAGCCTTCCTTTCTTGCTTCTCTCTCTCATCAGCATGTCAAGTAATTGGCGAAATTTATTTTACAGTCTACCTAACTAGATGACAGTGTCATATGTGTACAGAATACAAAAGAAGCAAAGTTAATTTATATTTATCCCCTTATTTAATGCAGAGGAAGGCTGTGGAGGGGCTGTTGCCCGGAACGGAGGCACCTCATTGATCTGTCTCCTACGAATTACGGCTGCAGGTGATAGATTTCTACTTTTAATGGTTGACTTGTTTTTACTTTTAACTTTTTATTTTGAAAGAAATCTTTGACTTTAAAATGAAGTTTTCCTGGAAAACTTTGGTCACATCAGGAGTAGATTTTGGTGGATTATTCATTGGTCTTCTGGGGGGGTCTTTCTGGTGTTAAAAGTTGTGTTCAACTTTCAGCTCCACTTTTCCTTATGTGTGGAGCCTTTGACAAGCTGCTTAACAACTCTGAGCTGAAGTGGCACCACCAGGAAATGATACTTAGCCCACAGAGAGCTGTGCACAATGCGTGAGAGCACAGACACAAACATCTTCAGCACAGCACCAGGCACATGACGAGTGCACACTGTGCGGTCAGTGTGGGCAAAGGAGCTCAACAAACTAAGTGAAAACAAAATAACCAAAGCATACATTCAAGTTAGTCAACTTATTTCTGACTTAGGCTATGTGAATATAATATGAAAACATTTCAGCAAAATGATGACACATGTCAGGGACATTAAGCTGTCTGTAATTTAGTAGAACATAGGGCACCAGGGTGCTGAGTTTTGCCTTTCTGGGCTAAATCCCTGTCTACAATACAACAAAAGTCTAATAGCTTTTCCCTTGTGGAATCTAAAGAAGGAGTTTCAGGTGGATAGTGAACTGTACGCCACTGCACCTACTCAAGGGAGATTCCCTGAACCTCCTATTGCCATAGACACATTGCTGTTCACCACTTCTTCCCTTTGGCTTTCCGTTTCGGGAGCAGCCAGCTTGCGAGCGAGCCCGATTGCTACAATTAACAGAATTAAATGGCTCGTTATGTTTTTATACAGTTCCACCCACGTCCTGCAGCGTTGCTCTAGCACGAGTCCCATGGAGGCTGTCCACCATGGGCACCTACTGAGACTCCCTCCACGCACCCGCTTCAGGGCGGCAATCAGAGAGGACGTGTATGCACAGAGAGCCCACAGGTGCCCAAGTGAGAGAGGAGCTACTCCCCAAATGTTGAGATCATTTCACAACCTGACTCGGGTCAGGGTGAAAGACTCAGAAATGGGGGCCAGAGGGAAACAACCCATTCTTAGCCATCTTGAAACACCAGGTGGGAGGAGGCTTATGAGCTGCAAGCTGGCAGAGGTGATGATTTTGATTGTTTTCAAAAGTGACATCGGATTGCTGAGATAAAGGGATGTGAGTCGATCTGCATCCGTCACTGAAATTATACAAATGACCAGCTCAGGCCTGCTGTGCTGTCACCCTGTGCTGCAGCCATCCTCTGAGCTAGATTCTGAAAGACAGTTGAGCTATTTTAAGAAAGGCTTCAAAGAATTCTCATTAGAATCCTAAAAGTGCAGGCACATCACCTAGCCTTCATGTGGAAACAGCAATGGCGGATGACAGAGACGTGTTGAGGAGGGGCATGTTTTAGTCAAGAGAATGGTTCCTTAGGAGAAAAGTCTCCTGGATTCTTGTCTAAACATTGTGTCAGAGCTTGTTTCCGCTCGGTGGCATTTGGTACATCTAAAAGTGAATGTGTAACTTTACACAAGTCTGGTAAGAACATCAGTTTTCCTTGCTCAATTCAATTTGCTCAGAGAGAGAAACTTTGAAATGATGCAAAACTGCTTAAAAGATGAGGCCTTTAATGAGTGACCAAGTTCATTCAAGCTAAGAGACACTGAATCATACGTAGGTATTTCCAACTGAAGTTCACAAGGGTGTTGATATGTTATAAGCATGGGCTACACACATGGTTCATTTTGGAAAAGGAGTAGGAAGAGCCTTCTTATCTCAAAGTTCATGTGTCAGTAACAGACAGCTTTGTATTTAATGAAGAGTAATATGTACTTTCAGCTTGCATCTGTTACTTTAGTACCACACCCACCTATGACTTTTTAAACAGTCACTGAGATTTCAATTATTCCTGTTCATTTTTAATTGGTTGGCACTGTTACTTCTTTATTTATACAGTAAAATAAATTGGGCATTTAGGAACTAACTATAAATTCTTTATTTCATGTTCATCTTCAGATTATCTTTATATTTTATCTTTTGCTAGCTCTTGAGTTAGGTAATCTTGACCTGTTGGTAAGAGAATTAATTTCTTTGTTGGAATAATGGTATTCACCATAAGTGGATAGTAACTTAGTGTCTGTAAAGTCAATATTACTCACTAGATGATAAATACTTAAGAAAATGTGCAAAGAAGATTTAAAGGATATAGTCATTTTGGGATCAAGTTTTGATTGTTTTCTTCCACACAAATATTGAGGTCTTAGTATGGCTAAGATATATATTACATGTATTCTTTAAATAGAGTCATTTAGAAATGGTAGTTTGAAAGTTAAAAAATTACAGTATTTTTCCCTTTAGAAAATGTTGTATGCCTATGCAAAAAGTGAACGTTAAGGCCAGACACCTTCTTGATAGAATCGAAGTGGACTCAGGCCCAAAAGTCTGAGACCAGAATAAAGAATCCTGCTTTTTCATTTGTGTGTTAATAGTGGCTCACATCTTTTGGACTGTGGTTGCTTTCTATAGAGGATTTAATGTCAAAATGAAATTTTAGGAAGGATTAAAAATAAATACAAAAATCAAACTTTGTTTTTTTGTATATTGATGAAATCTTAATACTTTAAACTATCCCCTGTATTTCTAAAAACTAATAGATCTTCCCATGACCGCAAGAGTTGGCAGTGTTGTGCTTTTTGAATCATGGAAACAAGATTAAATTATGATTGACGTTTTTGTTCTTACAATCTTTTGAAAAGTTATAGCTTATCACATGGTAGATATATAATGTCCTTATCAAGAACTCATTACTAACTAAAACATCATAATCTTCAAATGTCAGATAGAGACTACTGTTAGACATAGACTATCGACAGTGTTTAGGAAGTCAATGGAATATTCAAAATTTTACATCTTCCTTCGAGTCAGCCTCACCTCTAAGACAAAGGACAATACGTCATCACTTATACATGGTACTCGCTCAACTCTTAAAGGGTTATATGAAGGATCAAGCTGAGAAATGACTGAGAACTTACATGATTGAAGAGTGAAGGGGCCTGCTGCGTTCGTGTCGCTTGACATTATTATACTGTGATCTGTTATTTACTCATGGTTTCAAAGGCTTAGTTCAACTGAGAATTCAATTTCCAAAGATCAGTTAAAAGTTATCTTGGAACTAACGAAGCTAGTAACTCATGGTTCTGCACAGGAGTGAAGACTTTGTCAAAAATGACCATTTTTTTCTTCCACAATGAGGGTGGGATGTTGCACAACGTGCTGATAAGAAGAATGTCCTCTTGGAGCTTTACTAGTGACTAGGGAATCGTTCCACATCCCCACCAGGTGATTGGTTTTTCTTAGTGGAAATCTTGCTTGGAGGGTGAAACCATTGTGTACTAGGAAATATGTCTACCAATAAAAATTATTTATCTTTTAAAAATTGCTTTGGGGCTTTGTACCAAAAGAAGTCCTAGGTTGAGCCCACTGTCATTTTCTGTGGATGTCATCCTGGGGGTGGCAGTCTCTGGATGACACACTCATTACAGGTGATGGTTCTAGAACTTGATTATTTATAGTGACTTGGACAGTCCAGATAAATGAATGATTAGGTTAAACTGACCCTCTCATTCCTTTAAAGTGACTTCACTAATCTTTAATGTATCAGTTGGGTTAGTATAAAACCTGGGAAGGAAATTTAAGACATCTTCCACTGTGGTCAGGTTTGTTAGAATGGACGGATGAAAGTAATCATTTACATCTTTGATTTCCTGGGAAACATTGGCCAGTCTTGACAAGCCCTTTCTATTTAGGCTGCTTCTCTCTTCACTTGATATTCTGATAGCACCCCTGGCCAGGTTCCTGGGGGCACCAACTTGCAAAGTAGAGTGGTCTTGCAAGAGACAAGTGTTCTCAGTCTGCTGAGGCAGGATGATGGATTAGTGGACCAGTTTCTGACATCCCAAGTAATTACGATGCTTAAAGTATTTTAAGTAATTCCAGGTCTATAAAAAAAGTGATAATGCCTATATGCATACCCTATATATTTTATTACAAAAATATTGAAATAATCCATGAGTTATTCCACTCTGCACCAACTATAAAAAAATACTATCAAAGTTTGACCGGCACTTTTAATGCAACAAAAAGCACCATGACCAAGGACACTGAGAACAGAAAGCAGGGAATGTTACTTGCTGGACAGAGGTATTTAAAACCAGAAGCTTGTAAGAGTACGACTTTACAGATGATTCAAATATAAATCTTAGCTGGATATAGTGATAAGCCCTCAAGCAGTTCAGAGGGCCTCCTCGTAGCGTATTCACTGTATTTTATGCTCATACTTACTAAAGGACCCCAAAGCCTCTAAAAGACACATCACTTTGACCTTGGCTTGGGGATGGGTAAGTCTGTACACCGTGGAGAACTTGACTGTTCATCCTCTTGTCTGCTTTTGGGAGGCTCGTACCACATACTCTCAGTTGTTGGGGCTCCCATGTCAGTCCTGTGGTTGGATGGAGTTTGGCACTAGAAGGATGTGGCATGGCGTCTTCTGGAATCACACTTGCCCATGTGCACACTGGGTGAGCCACTCACTCGCATCAGAGCAGCCACTTGCGACCGACCTGTTTCTTCCCCTTACATTCCAGGGTGAGCTGCACCTACCTGGGAATTGGATTCTCATTTTGCCTCCCCCAACTCTCTCTTTGTGTGTGTATTAAAATTTGCAATTGAATACTGAATCATGATTATCATTTCATTTATGTCACGAAGTTATCGAGCTCCTTGGTCTTGTTGAAAGCTATACATGTGCTGCATAGGATTTCTGTCATAAAAGATGTTCTCAACTGAGAATTGAAAATAAGAAACAAATCCGGAAATGTGTAGAAAATGAACCATTCCATCAATGCTCATACACGTGTAAACACACTTGAGTTTGCTGTCCACTGGGTGAGCTTTTTCACACATGGTATTGGCTTCCAAATGAGACAATGGTTTATGATTTCTTTTCTAAGGAGTATTAGTTTTTTCCTGGAGTCTTGAGGGATACATTTTCTCTCTCTTTATTCTTATATTCCTGTGGAAATCAGAGCTTTGAGTTAAAAAAAATGCCTAAGCTATTTTAACAGAGGACTAGTGTGTGTGTGTGTGTGTGTGTGTGTGTGTTAGTGAATGTATGAATATATCTTTATGCAAAAATCAATAAACTCCATCAAAACACCCTATTGACTGGAGACATTTTCCATAATAATAGTACCCTCGGATGCGCTCCCAGGCTTCAGGAGGAGTTGGTAGCAACAGTCTTAGGAAACTGGTGTTGGCTCCTTCAGGTGGAGAAAGAGGCTCTCAGCGCTGCTAGTTTGAAAGGAGCCCGGCAATAGGCAGTCAGCTGATGGAAGATCAATGCACAATGATGAGGATGGTCAGACTGAGAACATCACGCTCGTTGCCCTACTTAGGATGAAATGTCGTCATGGCCACAGCCCCTCCGTCACCCCTTCCTCTGAACAAAGCGGCTCTGGCAGTCCTTTCATTTTATAAAGTGGTTTCATATTCCAGCCGCTCCTGAATAAGGGCATCGTCTTTGTACTGCAGCCGTGGAGGAGATGGGGAACATTCAAAGGCTAAAATGGCCTTTCGTAGGCTTCGGTCCAACACGTGTCTCTCCCAGGCTGGGTACCTATTCCTGAACAGGTCAATTTTAATGACCGACTCTTCAATCCGCGGTGGGCGAGACGATGGGGTGGACGGGGCGGTGGGCCGCACCTGGAAGACAGGCACACACCCATCGCGCTCCGCGAACTTCTGATCCCGCTCGCTGCCGACGCTGCGGTTGTTGGAGATGGAGCGGAGGGTGCTTGTGGCCACTTCTGGAGGCAGAGAGAAGGCAGCGGCGGGGTCCTCACAAGCACAACTCGGGGACTGCCCAAATCTGGGCCCATTGGGGTGAAAAAAGGCGTAATACATCAGCATGAAAACCACGCCAGTGAGAAAGCTGCTGAACACCACGCAGAGCGCCGGGATGGCAAATGCATCTGCTATCTGGGGAGCCTTGTACAGGTACCAGAGCGCACTCAGCGCTGTGTTTTCCAGAAGGATCACAAAGTAGTAAATGAACAGCCTGCAGCGTGTCCTGCCCTCCTTGACGTTGAACCAGCTGAAGATGTAGATGATCCCCACCACCATGTCGAACACAATCTCTTCCCACTTGGTGATACAGAACTCCGTCTCACAGTGGACGATCCAGAAGGTCATGATGCACCAGTGGAGAACGATGAAGATACCAAAGTACAGCTGGAAAACGGAGGCGAAGAGCGCGAAGGTGATGACTCGGGCGGCGATGGTGAAGAAGTGCCAGCAGAACTGGATGATGACGGCCATGTAGCTGATGGGCTTCTTATCGTCTCTCGAGTCCCGCAGGGCCTTCTGGTAGGAGGCCAGGGCCCATGCCAGGGAGACGAGGGAGGCTGCCGCTGTGAAACCTGTGGAGGGAAATGGAAGACACTTGGTCAAAAGCCAGATTTGGTGACACCGCTGGAAGGCAAATTCGGTGACACTGCTGGGATAGCACGGCTTTAAAATTAAGGTTCTTCATCTCTATGTTTTAATTTGACCCCCCATTTAGATGGGGTTCCAGTCACTGGTTTATGCAGAGCAAATCACATGCAGAAGGGGTGAATCTAATGGGAATGCTACTCAAAATTATTGTGGGTCTGACACTGACAGAGGCAGTAGGATTTAGCTTTCTGTGCACAAAATGGATCCAAGAGGTAGGTTTTGTTTTGTTTTTCGTTTTTAAATAACCACAGACTAGAAGTTGAAAAAACTGGGTTGCTGTTTCAACTTGACTACTTAGTACCTGCATGACCTTGGACAATCTCTGACACTGGAGACCTCATGTCTGAAGCTGGCCCGCTCCAAGGCCCCCTATTAACTTGGAGATTTTATGGTGGAAAGGGTCACAGTATCGCAGGAAGCTGGAAGGGCCAGCTGGCTTGCCTTTCTGCTTTCCAGAAAGAATAAACATAGTTCATCCGCAAAACAGAGATTTGTCCTTCTTTAAAGTAAGGAAAGTCGATAGGATAACTTTGGCAATGTTTCGTGTTGGTCCTTGGTTGGCAGTTTGTCCTAACGTAACCCAGCCCGCTCTCTGCGGCTTGTCTGTGTCTGCTGCTTCCTTCAAAGCACCAGTGTCCACTTGCGGTCGTTCATCTCTTAGCTTTCCACTAATCAGAGGTTGTATTGAAATCATTTTTCAGGTACTTCTCTTTTCTCACTTTATCAGCCTCATTTAATCAGTATTTCAGCTAAAGTAGGTTTTTAATCTTTAGAAAACACTTTTATTGCTTTATAGTCAAAGAGCATGTCTATGGCCCAGATACACATATAGGGCTCATCTAAAGCACACCGGCCTCTTGGGAGAGAGCTCTGCGGCGACCTCTGCTTTGCCACTAGCCTATCATATCAGTCTCCGCCACAGCTAGTTCATGTAAGCAGCTGTGCCAAGACAAACCAGCACTAAACAAGGTCTCGTGTACTTTAAAGTTCAGCTGGCCTTTTCTTCATCAAATCTATCATTACTCGTAAGGCAGCTGCATTGTGCTCTTTCATCCTCTTTGGGGATAACACAAGATGAGTTGACTGCAAAGAGCTTAGGATAAAATCAATATATTTTTTTTAATTATGGAGAAAAGCTATTGTTTACCATCCTTCAAAAATAAATTTAAAACAATGATTCCTGTGGAAAAGAGCCACATAAACTGATACAAAAATTCAACTCAGTAATTATTTCTTAAGCATTCCTCTTGATTAAGGTGAACTCCAAAAAATAATTTTTGAATGAAAAAATAAATTCCAAGAGACACTTCTCCTACTTGCTACCAATGTAAGTAGCAGAATGCCCAGACACGGGCCCTGAGCTCTTCAGAGGTTTTTCTGACTAGCACAAAAGCATTCCTTGCTATATGTCACGGATAGCTAGAGATTGGTGACATTTCTGGGTTAGTCAGAGGCCAGTACATGCAGCAGTTTATAATAATTGAATTTTGTTATGATGGAAAACAACATCAATTAAGAAGCAAATTCAGGAGTGAAAAGAGAGTGAAGAGGTAGTATTAAACTATACAGAAAGAAAGCAAGGGGATGGAAGTAAAAGGTAACAGAGTAGTGACCATGCAGACTATATATTTATGATCAATTTGGGATCAGTAAAACATGGTGGCATTTTAATCTCACAACCTTGGTATGGCATACAAGCAGCAAATGCCTTGTCCTTGTCTGTACCACTTGGGACTAGCAGCCTCTAGAATAGAGGATGCTCTTTAAGCTTTTAAGCATGGCTTCTTCAACTTTGGTGCTTTGGAAGACCACGGTTTTGAATCCCACTGAGAAAAGCTGTTGAAAGGTCAAAGGAATTCAGAGGAAAAGAACAGAGCTAAGCAACTGACGAAATGTCTCTTCTTGATACTGCTATACCAGTCTACAGCGATCATCTAGAAATTATTGAATGTCTTATAAAAGAATTCATTATCCATGTGGGATTAACTGTAGAGCAGGTAGTGTGCGATCACAGGGAAGAGCTTGCGGCCTTCACAGAGTGAGAACTGTTGCCAGGCTCAGTCACAGAACAGAGCTGTGGAAGTAAGTGCCAACAGAAGACATTCCTGCAGAATTCAGAGGAAAAGGCCAAAGGAATTAATAAAAGAGGAGAAAAAGAGATGTAGGTGCCCTGCCCAGGAGATTTAATCTACTCATTATAGAAGTACCTGAAACAGAGGACAAAGTAAATGAAGCCAAAATAATAATTTAGGAAGAACCGAAGAAAAATTTCCAGAGTTGAAGAATGAAGTAGGCCAGCAAATGGAGAAGGCTCATGGGGTACTTTTAAAATATTTTGAGAAGAAAGCAACACCCAGACATAAAATGTCAAGGATAAAGAAAAGAATTTGCAAGTATCCAGACAGAGAAGCCAGGTTACCACGAAAGGGGCAAAAGTCAGGCTGACCTCAGATTTTTCTCTTGCAGTTCTAAATTTCAGAAGACGACGGAACAATATCCATAGAGTTTTAAGGGAAAATAATTTTGAACCAGGTATTATACCTTGCCCAGCCAGTATTTGTGTATGAAGGCAACCGGAAGACATTCTCAGATACTAAGGGATTAACAAACTGTATTGACTAGGAATCTTCTCTGCAAATTTTGCTGAATGATTTACTGCAGCCAACAGAAAAGTTAAAAATAGCAGGGAGCTAACTGTATGAAAGATCTGTTGGATAAAACTAGTTAAGAAGGATGAGGTCTAAAACTATTACATATAGGGTAATAAACCTAAATGCAAAATACCATGGTACCTTGGTTTATGAACTTAGTTCATTCCATGATTCTGGAAAAGATGGCTGCAGTCTTGTTTGTCACCTGCTGCAGAGTTTGAAAACAAAAACAAAATTTTGCCAAAGTTTTTGTTTGAGAACCAAATTGTTTGCAAACAAAACTATTCGTGAACTGAGGTACCACTGTAGATTTGTAGGCTCAATCTAAAATTTTCAGTTTATGTCATTTTTAAACTATCACAGTGCATGCCAAATATGCAGTGTATTGGGCAAATAAATACTGTTTTATTTTCGCCATATAATATTTTAAAAATGCATGTAGTTAAGCCAAATTTGTGTTATATAAAAACACTTTGTTACCATGGACAGGACAAGTAAAGACATTCTAAATATTAAATCTGACAAAATTGGGAAAATGGTACAATTTTATTTCCTTAAAAAAACGAGCAAACTCATAATGTTAAAACTGATAATATATGGAGAAAATTTCCAAAACACTGGTTTGAAAGCAGATGATATGTTTCAAATACTGAATTGGGAAACCAGTAATTACTGCATCAGATGGAGGTCAGTTTGTAACTGAGTTGTGGATGAAAAGAGATTATATACATTTCAAGCTTCTGAAATTGGAAACAAGTGAAAAATCAGGAAAAGGTAGCAAAAGAAAAATACCAAGGAAGTGCTAAAATCTGTATAAAAGTTATTAACAGAGCTATAGGTGAATTATACAAGAAATTCAGAGGAGATTTAATGCCAATTCTTGTCAAACTCTTCAATGATACTGAAAAAGAAGCAATTCTCCCTAACTCATTTCCAGAGGCAGGTATTATACTGATACTAAAAGCAGAGAAAGACCCAACCAAGAAAAAGAATTAAAGGCCAATCTCTGTAATGAATATGGATGTAAAGATACTCAATAAAATATTAGCAAACAGAATGCAGCTAATCATCAAGACAATACACCATGACCAAGTGGAGTCCATCCCAGTGATGCAGGGATGGCTCAATATACACAAATCAATTAATGTAATACACCATATCAATAGAGCCAAAGACAAAAACTACATGATCATCTCAATAGATGCAGAAAAAGGTCTTGACAAAGTCCAGCATTCATTCATGATAAAAACCCTACAGAAAATAGGTAGAGATGGTCTTTATCTCAATCTGATCAAAGCTATCTATGACAAACCAATAGTCAACATCATACTAAATGGACAAAAACTGAAAGCTTTCACTTTAAAATCAGGAATAAGTCAAGGATGCACACTGTCACCACTCTTATTCAACATAGTTCTGGAAACATTAACCTGAGCAATTAGACAAGAGAGAGATATAAAAGAAATAAGGATAGGAAAGGAAGAAGTGAAATTACTTTTTTTGTAGATAACATGATACTCTACATAGAAGACCCCCAAAGCTCCATCAAAAGACTCCTAGAATTAATCAGCAAATTCAGTAGCATAGCTGGTTACAAAGTCAATACTCAAAAACCAATAGCATTCTTATACACAAGCAACAAACACACTGAGAGAGAAATAACTTTCACAATAGCATCCAAGAAACTGAAATACTTAGGAATCAATCTACCAAAAGAAGTGAAAGATCTTTATAGTGGAAATTACTGTACTCTGAGAAGGCAGATTGAAGAGGATTTCAGAAAATGGAAAGATATTCCTTGCTCATGGATTGGAAGAACCAACATTGTGAAAACGGCCATACTCCCAAAAGTGTTGTACAAATTCAGAGCAATCGCAATTAAGATACCATCAGCATACCTCACAGATCTATAGAAAACATTTCTAAAATTCATCTGGAACCAGGAGAGACCCAGAATAGCAAAAGCAATCCTGGGCAACAAAGACAAGTTAGGTGGCATCACAATCCCTGACTTGAAATTGTACTACAAGGCCATTGTGATAAAATCATCAAGGTATTGGCAAAAAAACAGACCTGAGAATCAGTGGAACAGACTGAAAGGTGAAGTCATAACCACAAACACACTCAGCCAACTTATTTTTGACAAAGGGGCCAAACAAGTTCATTGGAAGAAAGGGAGCCTCTTTAATAAATGGTGCTGGAGAAAACTGGCTCACCACATATCAAAGACTGAATCTAGACCCATGTCGATCACCATGCACCAAACTCAAATC